CAACAACAACAAAATTAGAGCAACAGAATATTAGAAACTGGATAAGTCTCAGCAAATCTGGAGTGCAGGATATGGGAGCTGAACTGACCCAACTTAACCTTTCATGGCTGTCAGGATCTTTGGGGTAAATGCCAGCAGCCTAGGACCATTAGAGGTGAACCTGATGCCAAGTGATGCATCAGAGCGAAACCAGAGTTCTGACATGCATACAGCTCACCAGCAAGCAGACCCAGTAATGTCTGAGCACTCTGTACTTTTAGGCCCTCTGACAGCTCATATGGGAGCTCTGGTGGCGTTGTGCCCAAGGCATTTGACTTCTAACCAGAAGGCTGGCAGTTCAAACCCACCAGCCACTCATCAGAAAGAAGATTGGGCAATCTACTTCTGTAGTGATACTGCCTCGGAAACCCAAGGAGGAGTCCCTGTGAGTCAGATCTGACTCCATGGCAGTGAGTTGAGTGAGACATCTCATATGCAAATCACCCCAAGTCAAAGGTAGCATTGCTCTGTGGGTAAATCAGCCAGCCTTTGCCCACGGTAGGTCAAAGCCCGCCAGGAAGTAGGGGGATTCAGGCCCAAAAAGTACTCTGGACCCAGGGTGCTACTCTAAAGGTGTTAGGCCATTGGACTCATCAGATTTGAAGGGTAGAAGTATCCACTCAAATTTCTGGTCAACCACAAATACAAGATACCACTGATTTCACAAGAGAAAAATTATTTCTAACATCTTTTGTGCTAATTAAGGAACCTTCTGGTGTTTGGCCACCACCCTTCAGTCAGGTTGTTGTACTGTGGTGGCTTACATGTTGCTGTGATGCTGGAAGCTATGCCACTGGTATTTCAAATACCAGCAGGATTATCCACGTTGGACAGGTTTCAGCAGACACCTGGTTCCAAGTGACAGGAGGCAATAACAATGCCTGAGGCTGGTGGTCAGGCAGGAGGAGATACTACTTTTCCATAAGACTCTGGTGCTCATTAAGTAAGGAACTGGCCCGAGGGGAGGGTAAAAGCGAGAGGGCAGGAATGACTTGGTGCTTTCTTTCTAAGATGGAATTGGCTTTCAAAATGGAGTACAGGAGCCATTTTGGGGTGTTTGAAGGACTATATCATACAATGCCATACCCTGAAAATTCTGCCGGTGAAAGAGTTGAGGGTTTCTTGCCCCACCAGGGTATTTGCTCTGGTACAGCCAGCTTGCTCCTTAGAAGCAAGAAGGCCAAACTTCATCTCTCGTACTTTGGTCACGTTACCAGGAGGGACCAGTCCCTGGAGAAGGATATCATGCTTGGTAAAGTAGTTGTTAGGTGCCCTTGAGTCAGTTGCAGCTCATAGCAACCCTATGTACAACAGAACACCACACTGCCTGGTCTTGCACCAACCTTACAATACTTGTTATACTTGAGACCATCATTGCAGCCATTGTGTCAATCTATCTCATTGACAGTCTTCCCCTTTCTCGCTGACCCTCTCTACCTTACCAGCATAATATCCTTCCCCAGGGACTGGTGCCTTGTAACAACATGACCAAAGTATGAGAGACAATGAAGTCTGCTCATTCTCGCTTCTAAAGAGCATTCTGGCTGTACTTCCTCCGAGATAAGATTTGTTTGTTCTTCTAGCAGTCCATGGTACATTCAATATTCTTTGCCAGCACCACAATTCAAATGCTTCAATTCTTCTCAGTCTTCCTTATTCATTGTCCAGCTTTCACATGAATATGAAGCTACTGAAAAGACCATGGCTTGGGTCAGGCACACTTTAGTTTTCAAAGTGACCTCTTTGCTCTTATGCATTTTTAAGAGGCCTTTTGCAACAGATATGCCCAATGTAACTTGTTATTTGATTTCTTGACTGCTGCTTCCATGGGCTTTGATTGTGGATCCAAGTGAAACGAAATCCTTGACAACTTCAATCTTTTCTCCATTTATCATTATGCTGCTTATTGGCCTAGTTGTGACCATTTCTGTTCACTTTATGTTGAGGTATAATCCATACTGAAGGTTGTACTCTTTGATCTTCATCAATAAGTGTTTCAAGTCTTCTTCACCTTCAGCAAGCAAGGTTGTGTCATCTGCATACTACATGTTGTTAATGAGTCTTCCTCTGATCCTGATGCTGTGTTCTTATTCATATAGTCCAGCTTCATAAATTATTTGTGCAGCATACAGATTTGAATAGGTATGATGAAAGGATACAATGTTGACCATACCTTTCCTGGAAGTGAAAAATTGGAAGACCCTCAATGAGGTGTACTGACATAGTGGCTGCAACGATGGGCATAGCAATGATTGTAAGGGTGACGCAGGACTGGGTAGTGTTTCATTCTGTTGTGCATAGGGTCACTACAGGTCGAAAATGACTCAATGACACCTAACAATAACAACAACAAATTTACACCATATCAGGAAAAGTGCTCTCTCCAAGAAAAGGCTGTTTCAAAACCCCATGGTAGACTGGGGAGGTGGTGAAAGGAATCCTAAAGGACTGTGAAGCTGATAGGACTGTGAAGCTGATTGACACCACCCCACCTTGACATAGAGGTGGTGCAGCTATGCCCAGCTTCCATCTGGCCAGAACTGGGAGTGTCTTTTCAATAGACTGGCAATTTCTGAATTCTTATTACTACCTGAGTCATCAAGGAAGAAACTTTATTATTGGAATGATAATTAGTGGGAACTAACAATAGCTCATAAATATACCAAATTAACTCCTCCTCCCCTGAAAACTGACAGAGCAGAGGGCCAGGCTCTGTGCAAGAGGACAGGGCTGAGTTCCTCGGTGGAGTTTACAGTGACCAGTTTAAAAACCACAGACACAGGTGCCTGCCTAACAGCTGGGAACAGGCCTGGAGGCTGGCCAACCACTGCCCTTCCCCCTGCTGCCATATCCTCTGTGTGCTTAGGATTCATTATCTGATTCAAAGGCAAAGATGGCAGAGGAAAGGGGTAAGTTATCTGTCATTGAGGTCTACCCAGGGAAGGGCAAGATTCTAAGGAGGTAGAGAAGGGAAATATCTACTGCAGGGAAAGATGGACCTCCATTCTAAGAAAGCTAGAAGGTGTTGACCTTTGATACTGGGAAGGAATAAAGTTCAGTAAGGGCAATCAGCTCTGGCTGCACCAGGAATCCCAACAGGCTCTTACACCATTCACTAACTCTGAACCTCAGGTTTCTCTTACTCAGTTTCCTCAACTGTAAAATGGGGATGAACTTTACAGGGTGGTTGTAAAGATTAAGTGTGTTAATGTGTGAAGGATTTTTACCATGTAGTAAGTGCTCTGTAAATGTTAACTAAAAACCCCAAAAAAACAAACTCACTGCCATTGAGTCAGATCTGACTCATAGCTACCCCTTCTTGGGTTTCCGAGGCAGTATCACTACGGAAGTAGATTTCCCAACCTTCTTTCTGGGAGTGGCTGGTGGGTTTGAACCGCCAGCCTTCTGGTTAGCAGTCAAATGCCTTAGGTACTACACCACCAGAGCTCCTAAATGTTAACTATTAATAATTAAATAACAATTACTTACTATGTACTTCTTTGCTATCAGGCCAGGTGTAGCAGTGACCCTCCTAGTTACTGATTGCACCTACTTCCTAGGCTACATGGTCCTAAGTACCCTGCCTGGTGCCCCTTAGGAGTTGCCCTGGGTGTCACTGATCCCATTGACCCAAATCACCAAACCCAACCATGTTGCAAGGTTAGAAACCTGAGAGGTCTAGCTGGTTTTGACTCCTGGGGAAATCTTCAGCCAGTGTGGTTTCTGGGAAGCAGAGAAAGGAGCCGCAGAGACACGCGTCAGCAGCTGGGGGAGTGGGAGATGTAGGGCAGGAATCGAGAATGCTGGGCTGGGACACCCACTTCTTTGGGATCGAACTTGCAGCGGACCCTGAATGTGAGAGCGGGCAGGGGTGGGGGCTGGCTTGGTGGCTGTGGTCCCGGAGTACCCTGAAGTGGCAGGGCCGGCCACGTGACAGAGGAAGGAGGAGTGTCGTGCGGCCGCAGGAGGGCACTCGCGGTCCCCCGGGGCCTTCCCGCGCCTAGCTTCTCCCTGCCACTTCAGACAGGGGATTTGATAAGCTGCCGGGCAGGAAAGGGGCAGGGAGCGGGGGGTGGCGCTGGGCGCTCCGAGAGGGTACTAGGGGTGGCCTGAGGGCTGTGGAGGTGCGAGGCTGTCACCTGTCCTAAGGGCAGAAAGTATCCTACCGGCCCGAGCGTCCTTTTGCCCACGCCACGCGGTGGCCGTGGCCGGAGAGGCAGCGCGAGGGTGTCAAGGAGCCGGTGTCAAGGAGTTGATAGAACTCGGGTTCCAAGGCCACTCAGGCCGCCTGCCCAGATCCGCCACAATAATGCGCCTAAGGTGTGCCTCAAGCTGGGTCAGGCAAGTCCCTGTCCCCTCGAGCTCGCGAGCGGCCTCCGCAAACCTTTGCTCGCCGCCCCTCTCCGGCCTCTCAGGTTACACCAGGGTCCCTCTCCCTGCCCTTTGCGTCGTGCGGACACGTTCATTATTGGGTGTGTTTCTTCTCCGGCTGTGCCCTGGGGATGTCCTGGGACCGAGGTCGGGGAAGTGGCCCAGCCACTTCTGTGTCCCTAGTGTGCCGGCCCGGCGGGTATCTGCGAAATGAATGAATGAATGAGCAACGTTACGGTGTCCTTACTGCCCACCACGTGCCGGGGAGTACAGGCGAAGGGTGGTCACAGCAGCCGAAGGGTGTTAGTTAGCACCGGAGACTGCGAGTAGTTGTGCGCCCTGTTTTTCCACTAACCCAGAAGGGGGCGGGAGGGGTCCTCCCGGCCCCGCCCTCAGCTCCGCCTCTTCTCCGCGCGCCGAGGGAGCTCGCGGCTCTGAGAGGCGCTGATGTCAGAGGGAGGCGGCCTGGTGTCCCGGCAGTCTCCTCCGCGGAGCGGCCGGAGCCGAGCCCAGCCGAGCCAACAGTGGCGGCGCTGTGAGCCCGTCCGCCCCCGCCGTCCCTCGGCCCCGCGCCGCGCGCCAGACTCGGCATGGAGCGGGAGTGCCGAGTGCTTTCCATCCAGAGCCACGTCGTCCGTGGCTACGTGGGCAACCGCGCCGCCACCTTTCCGCTGCAGGTACGCGCGGGTTTATGTAACGCGCCCAGGCTGTCCCCGGCGTGGTGGCTATAGCGCTGGCCCCGGGCGCATGACCTTGGCTGAGCCACCAAGCCCCACTTCCAGTCCGGGGCGCGGACTGCGGGCCCTCAGGGCCAGGCGCGCGCATAAGGATCAGGGGTTGGCGCGGCGCCCCTGGAGCCCGGGCGGTCCTAGCGGCGTGTGACGCGGCCCAGCCAAGGGGAACCGGCCCCCGGGAGCGCAGAGTAGGTGATTGCAGGGTTCAGACTCCCCTGTGGTCGGCCTTGCAGGGTGGAGTAGGGGGATAAGCACTCATGAGTGGGAGGGGGCGAGGGCAGGACGCGCGTAGGGGCCGAACCTCGGGGATTCGGGCGCCTGTCCCAGGCTCGGAGGGGGCGGTGCTTAGGGAGGGCGAAGCTCCTGTGGTTTACCCTCCGGCTATAAGCTCTTCCCCGAGCCGAGAAATTTCGGCACAGCGCCAAGGTCGCGAGAGCAAGGACCCTGTCCGGGCTGAGTACACTTCAGGAAGGAGCCTTGACGACCTGGAGCGGAGGAGGTGAAGATAGTCCAAGCTTGTAGGATGATGGGTGGGAGTGCTCCCGACACTGGACCCCAGAGTTCGGTCTCTGGGCCCCTTTGTGGGGGGAGCATCGCAGAAGGAGGAGGGTGCTGAGTAAGGTCAAGGACAGGCAGGCCGTGGTTCAGATGGGGGTGGACCAACCCTCCCATATAGGAGCTCATGGCCCCGCTGACCATTCAGGAGGTGGTCAGACAGAACGGGGTGGCATAAGGCACCATCTACTCTAGAGAAGTAGAGCTTCAGGGACTTCCTGGGACCGAGCTCGTGTTTTGATTTTAGAAACTACTTTTTAAATATTTTAATCTTTCTTAACTAACTGATTCCAGGATCCCTTCCTGGTGAGGGGCTCACAATAGCTGACCCCCAACTGCTTCCTATTTGCAGCCAGAGGTTCTCGCTGGGTGGCCCTTGGTGGGGAGCTGGGTGCAGTGGGCTGCTTGCTGGGCCAGGATAGCAGCAGGTGATGGGCACCTCCTTGTCTTGTTCCAGCAGGAGGGCTGGGAGGCTTTCCTGGACTGCCCACCTCTTACTGCCCTTAGTGGCAAGTGTAGCAAGACCCCAGAGCCCCTGCTGGGTATACTTGGTCTCTGCACTACCTGCCTCCATGAGGTGGCAGGCCCTGGGCCTGGTGTGGAGCTAGGCTTAGGGCTCAAGAGCAAGCACATCGCATCCAGGGTGGGTGGAAGGAGACCAGGGGGGGCCTGGCCTGTGTCTGGGAGAATCTGAGGGCTGAAAGGAGGCTGGCGTGCTGGAGGAGGAAGGGGTGAGAGCATAGTGTTAAAGGTGGAAAAATATGAGGGTTCAGGCCCCAAAGTAATGCAGCCACTTTTGACTTGTAAGCACCTGTTGGGAAGGGTACAGCACTTTGCACATGCTATCATCTCGGAATGCTCACTTCAGGCAGCCTGGGGCAGATGCCACCCACCTGGGGCTGCCCTATAGCTGGAGCTCTCAACCACTGCTCCAGAATGCTGGCTCCTAGCTTGGGGACAGGCATAGCAGGTAGGCATGCTTGCATGGGTAGAAGCACTAAGGTGGCATTGTACTAGGGGAGAAAGGAGCAAAGTCCCTGAAGCCAGGGAGCCAGACGATGCAGAGCTAGGCGAGGCTCCAAGAACAGATTCCATGCTGTCTGGGAAGGCAGGAGCAGCCCCAGCCCACCCTTAGCCAGGCCCTTCTCCCCATCTGTCTGCTCCTACTTTTGTTCTTGCCTTCCTCCATTAGGCAGACCATTCCCATTTTCCTCAGGTCAGCTTGGGGCCTACAGCGATGCCACTATGTTTCTGAGCTCCAGGCACATGCCCTCAGTGTCTACCTTGAGGACTATAGTGTTCTAATTACTCTGGGCAGCCTGTTGACTGCCCAACTGGGAAAGTGCTTCTTCTTCTTTTTAATGTATTTTATTGAAATATAATTTATGTACAGTGAAATAAACAAAACTAAAGTGACATGGGCCAGTGCATTTTTTTTTTTTTTTTTTTTGTCTTTTGCAGTGTTCCCTCCCCTCCCACCCCTGTTGTTGTTGTTATTTGCCGTTGAGTTGGAACCAACTCATACTCATAGCGACCCCTCCTTGGGTTCCCGAGGCAATATCACTACAGAAGTAGATTGCCCAGCCTTCCTTCCGAGGAGTGGCTGGTGGGTTAGAACCACTAGCTTTCTGGTTAGCAGTCAAGTGCCTTAGACACTACGCTACCAGAGCTCCTCTTCCCAGCCCTAGTAACAAACAAACAAAGTTTTGTTCCATGTATAAACCTTTCTTTGACTTTTTACAATAATAAACTAATTCTATATTTGTCCTTCTTGTGATTGAGTTATTTCACTCAGCATAATGTCCTCCAGGTTCATCCATGTTATGTGGTGTTTTGCAGGTTCTACATTATTCTTCAGTGTTGCATAGTATTCCATTGTGTGTATGTACCATAGTTTGGTTATCCATTGTTCTTTTGATGGCCACAAAGGTTGTTTCCATCTTTTTGCTACTGTAAATAGTGCTGCGATGAACATGGGTGTGTATATATCCTTGTCCTGGATCTCACTTCTTAAGGATATATACCTAGTAATGGATTAAATGGTATTTCTAATTCCAGCTTTTTAAGGAGTTGCCATACTGTGGGAAAGTGCTTCTTAAGGACAGAGCTGTGGTTCTTACCTGGGGTCTCTAGTTAGCCCAGCATCCTTATCTGTGAGCAGGTGCACTTGGTAGAACTAAAAATCCAGTGTCACTGGCAATTGTCAGGAGGTCATACTAGGGGACAGAGAGCCAAGGTGGGTAGGGTTACACATCATCTCCTGCCTTCCTATTATCTTGGTACTTGAGCTAGAGCTGAGTCCTCTGTGTCTTATTCAACCCATTGCTACATTCCCTTCTTATAGTTTTGTCAGACTCAGGAGAGCATGGCTATCTAGGTGTTAGCAGAAGAGAGGGGCATGACCATATACATTTAGCCCTTGGGATGCTCAGTGGTCTCAGAGCCTTTTCAGGATTAAGGGAAATGGGGACTACGAACAGATATTTTCTCAGGTGCTTGGGAGGTACTGGCTGTCTGAAAAGGAGAGGTACCAGTATGCCTTGTTCACCTGTTCACATGCAGGAAGGTCAGAATGAAGACAAGGACACTCGAGAGTGACTGGAGGCATCATGTATTGGTTTAGATGGCATGGATGTGGGTTGAACCCCCCACTTCCTTACAGGTACCCTTTGCCCAGTGGTGGTCCTCAAATCATACTCCCTCCAAATGTAGACCTCAACCAGAACAATTCCCAGAAATGTCTTAGTTCACTGGACACTCTCACTTTAACCACTTGATGCTGCCTTGACCATGTGCTTGTTTTCACTAATCTCACTGAGTGCCTCAAGGCTGATATGCAAAAGGTTACACAGTGCTTATTTTGTGTCCTGAAGCTACCATAACAAAGTACCACAAGCTGGGTGGCTTATAAGATAAGAAATTGAAGGGAGTGAGTCATTAGCCTGGGGACTCAGGACCATAGTCTCATGGGACATCAAGGTCAATTGGCACAACATAGCCCATAAAGCTACATTCTACTTTGATGAGTAGTGACCGTGGTCTTGAAATAAGCTTTCGAAGGACCATTTAAAGTGCAACTATTGGTTTCTTCTAGTCCAGAGCAAAGAAGAGTGGAGAAAAGCAAAGACACATGTAAACAGTGAGTTGGTCCAAGTGGTCCCAGCATCCACAACTCTGAGACCAGAACTACCTGAAACTGCTCTGCAAAGGATCACATTAGAAGGTCCTGGGTAGAATGGGAGAAAAATGTGGAACAAAACTCAAAGACATGAAAAAGACTAGGCTTACTGATCAGATAGAGGCTTGTGGAACCCCCAAGATTGGCCCTTAGTCACTCTTTGGACCTGGAACTGAACTCACTCTTGTAGCTGAATTTTCAGTCAAATGATAGACAGATCTATAAGGTGAAGGATAACTCTAGGAAGATAGATACAGCTTAGAACAATCAGGGCGGCATTTTCCCAAGGACAAAAAGTTCAGAAGGCAGGAAGGGTTGGGAGAGGAGGAATGGAAATGTGAAATACTGGGAGGATATGGGAGGAGTTATGTTCATTGATGGGATTGCAATTAATGATGTGAAACAAAATGTGTATGAATTATTGAATGGAAAACCAATTTACTCTGTAAACATTCACCCAAATCACACACACAGAGATCAGATATTGGTAGTCCTAGAAGCCAGAAGTTTGCATTCAGGGTGTTGGCTGGACCATGCTCTCTCTGACAACTCTAGGGAAAGATCCTTTCTTACCTTTCCCACTTTCTGGTAGCTCCAGTTGTTACTTGGCCTGTAGATGCATCTCTCCAATCTCTGCCTCAGACTTCATTTGGCCGTCTCTCCTCTGTGTCTATGTATATGCAGCATAACTCAGTCTTCACATGGCCATTTTCCTTCTGACTCTGTTCTCTTTTATAAGAATGGCAGTCTTGCAGAATTAGTCTCCACCCTATTCCAATAGTCATGTTAACCTAATGATCACATCTTCCAACCAAGATAATGTTCATAGTTTTAGGGGTTAGGGCTTAAACATATCTTTTTGGGGATACAGTTTAATCTATAACAGTGTTGCAGGGTCTCATAATGTCTCTTAGCTCCCCTACTTGGGCATGTTAAAGTGGGAAGAAGCAGTGAGATGGATGGAGATGGCTGGGATGACCTGGATAGCTGGAATGGTTGGCTGGTGCAGTGCAGTGAATTACTTAATATGGCCCTTCTAGCCATCATCATCCATTTTGTGATGTATTATAAATTCTAGCCTCAGTGCCTGTGGTTACAGTCCTATTATGGGTAAATTGTCTGTTATGTTAAAGAGTCAGGATTAGGGTGGGATGTATTTTGAGTCCTGCCTTAGTAGAGGATGTAACTCAAGTTGCCACCCTTAGTTTCC